CCCCCGCCCCCCCAATAAAATGATAGTAATAGCGTGCACACATTTCGAATTCAGTTAGTCATATCTATAGTACTTATCAGCCTAGGAATTGCACTTCATTTCAATGACTAGTTTTTGTGGTACAATAATTATTGTTATATATGAATTATTTATACCTGTGAACTTTTAAATTGTAACTTATTGCCATTTATGTTATTGAGGTTTATTTATTTGAAGCAATCTATTTATTAACTTTGTTTAGTGAAACACACACATACAAATGCATCTTTACTGATTATCAAGGTCAAAAAGCAATTTGCAGATGTCGTACGTCAATATTTTAAAAGTCTATATAGATAAATGACAAGGCATAGTTTGTTTTGGAGTACTTTTTAAAAATCCTTTTTAAGTGCAAATATTTTATAATAGACTCAAATTTTTTTTGATAATTTTACAGTAAAAAAAATTATTTTTTTGGCTTGTTGCTCTTGTTTTCCTCGTTTTTATTTTGTTTGTGTTCTTTCTGTTACATTAAAAAAACACAGATGAGGAGATGAAAACAAAAAGAAAGTATGTATTTATTATTTATTTAATATGAAAGAAATTGACTGATATGGCTGTATATTTATTTTGTTATTTATGTGCGTGATGTGACAGTTGAGTCTGAGTAGTCTTAAAGATCCTCTGCTAATATTTAAATAAAGAACGAAAAAATAAATAAAATCAGTACAAATACTGTTTGATTGCTTAGGCATAGATGTACCAGCAGCTGATTGTTAAAAAACAAAACAAAACAAACAAACAAAAAAAAACACTCAAAAGCAATCACTTTCACTATCCGCTCTCTGAGTATTTGCTTTTGTCAGGTGATGAGAACAATTTGTAGAGGAATTTAAAAAAATGTTACCTCTCCCAAGCGCTTTGTAGCAGCCAGAAGTGGCTCACCCACAATCTCTGTGACGTACCATGGCTGTTTAAGTAACGGTTTTGAATTCTTTACATCAGTGCAGTGGTACATGTGTAGAGCTCTATTCCAGCAGTGTTTTAGTCTGGATGTTCGAGTCTAAAACACACACACAGCGACATATCCAACCCACGAGGATACTGTAGGATGGCCTCCTTTGACAAACTTTTATCAGATAAACATACACACCCTTGTAGCCTTACTCTAGATTTTAATTTTTTGATGCACAAAGTGCCACTAAAAAATAAATAAATAAAGGAGAAGAAGAGAACTCACTTTCTTTCCTGACTCTTCGCATTTCTGCAATGTAACAATGTCTGGTCCTGAGGAGACCACAGCATCGAGAGAGTGGTGATTGTTTCAGATGCCTTTATTTCTCTGCCAAGATGGCCATAAGTACACTATATATACATTCTGTATAAATAGATTTTAAAGATGCTATATATATACATATATATATATATGAATATAAACATACATATATTTTTACAGTGTAATTGTTGACTTGCTCTTCTTCTTCTTCTCTTGTATATCCTTATCAAAAGATCACTAGCTTATTGGAAAGAGAAATGAGGAGGGATTATCAGTAGGAGGCAGTTACACCTTAATTAATATCACTAAGACCTGCTCAACTGTGGCTTTAAACATACCATTGAGTCAAAGCTGAAGGCTATGATACAGTACAATACTTTGGAAGTGTTCTCATAGGATTCCTTTTTTTAAATTTTCTTTCCTTGTCTGTCCCTGATCCAGAAATGTCAGAAACATCTACTGTATGTTGTACTACTGAATCTGAGAAATGAAACCATCAGTTTAGATGGTTGGCTCTTTGTTCCTAAGTGTCATGTGAGTTCATGTATGAAAATTTTTTTGAAAAAAAACACACAAAAAAAAGACGATGATGATGCCTCTGAGTAATGCGCATAGTGTTTAGCAACATTGTGCAGTGATTGTGTTAATAATGGAAACAGCTCACGCTCTGTGAGCTTTCCGATACTGAAGTGAGCAAGTAGAAGACCGTAGTGTAACCTGCCTTTGCGTTGCACCTGCTGTGGTGTACACGACCCCGTGTGTAACTCTGATGTCGAAGGCATGTTTTCAATGTGCTTTTAGCCAATGTAGAATGAATCTCCTTTGTGCACTTTCTCAATAACTGTTGAAGATGCCAGCATTTTAAGTCTTGACTTGTAAGAAACCCAATAGATAGATGACAGGCAATTGTCCCGCCTGTTTGTCACATAGAAAAAAAACACACAAAAAAACAAGCCGTTTCATTCAGGGGGTTCAAAATGTATTTTTTAAAAAAGGAAGTGGTACTTTCTTTTCCAAACAAACAGGAAAAAAAGAACAACCAAAAGAGACTGATGGGAAGCAGAGTTTGGTTCTCAGGTGATTGGGGAGAGCTGCTAAAGCAGAGCAGAGCAATGCCATAGGTCAGCCAGTCAGCTGAGGCTAGAGGCAACAGCAGCGGCTGGATCAAGGCCTAGATGAGTGTGTGGGAGTGGGAAATTGATTTGCCCGGCTACACAATCTCCCCTTTGCTTTAGGAGGAGGCGTTTGTTGCATAAATACGAGCCCGTCACTCAAAAGAATGTCAGAGCCTTTTATGACTTTTATACTCCCCACACCCTCCCCGCCAAAGCCCCCACACCCATGACCCCCCCCCCCCCCCCCACAACACACACACACACACACCCCCACCCCCCATTCCTCATATTTTTGTAACCTCTCTCCAGGAAAAATAGTTTGGATGCATTTGGTTAACAAAGTAGCGTATTCCCTCTCTTGAAATGCACGAGAATACTACCCGAGAGTGTTAAGACTGAATATTCTCCCAACTTATTTGATAAGGCATGACCCCTTTTAAACTGCTTGATGAAACTGTCTACTGAGGTATGTAAATGAATAACACTGAGGCCATGAAAGCATAGCATTTCAAAAAAAAAAGAAAAAATGTCAGCTGAGAAAGCAAATGCAGCCCACGGTTGGTTCTGCGCCCACACACTGTATGTTTTCTTATTTACATAAAAGTACCGAGTGATGGAGTGAGCAGATTTATTATTCTAAATTGCAAAGGAACAACAAAAGTGGTCAGGGCTCAGTTTCCCCCGAAGCACCTGGGACGAAAATTGAATTGAACCTGATGAAACATTCGGGGGAACCAGAATCTTGTTTCAGAGGGGTCGGGGGAGGTGAGCGCATCGTCACCTGGCGAGAGCAGGTTGATGCCCACGCGCGCACACTCTACACTGAGAATAAGAAAGAAATGTCAAGCTGAGCAAAACCAAAAGACCCCCAACATCCTCCCTGTTGTAGTCGCAAGCTGTGTGGTCTTATCATGTGTGCCTTTCTCGCTGAACTCATTTTGAGGTAGGGTATGTTTACACCTGGTTCAAATACTGCTGAAAACATTTGGTCTGAATCTAGATGTTTTACTTTCAGGGGCGGGGTTAGCTTTGGGGAGGGGCTGGGGCCGATCATGTCGAATATATGCGTTTTCACATCCAGGCAGAGGCTGTTCTGTGACAGAGATGGCACGAAACAACGAGCCTAAGGAAACTGTGATCCCATTCTGTCGATTCAGGTACCAAAACTGCATGGACAGTTTCTGTGAAGGAATCTGAAGAACATCATCATCATTATCATCATCATCATCATCATCCTATCCATCCCTAGATAATGCATTAGTGTGCAGGGCATTATTTTGAAACAAGTGGAAGTGTCTGTACATATTTGTATTAAGAAGAAACAGTGTTATTGTTGTTGTATCGAAGACGAGTTGAAAATGGTTTTAAAAAAAAGAAAAAAAAAAAAGAAAATAGGTTGTGACAAAGAGAAAAAAAATCCACAGCCAAGGGTTGTCCTGCTAGCACATTTTTACACAGATGAGCTATTTTTACTGGTGATTTTCTAGGTATTGATACTGATATCCTTTTAAAGTACAAAACTTCCAAAATTACAAGCACTTCCACAACGATAGATTGTACGGTGGTTTTTGTTACTTTTGTAGATGTGGTCGTTCCTTTGCTACAGCAACGTTTTTTAAAGTGGGACAGGCCTTGGCTGTGTGTCCTTGGGGTCTCCTGTTTGTTTGTTTGGGTTTTTTGCCTAATTTGTTTTTGTTTGGGAAGTAAAACACTGTAGATGGGCCAATTTTGTGACTGATTGTTTGTGTACTTGTGTACGTTCCCCTGTTCCTGTGTCAGTGTTATAAAGCAGAGAAGTGATGTCAGTTATTGTGGGAGTATGAACCATTTTAAATGTTCTCTATGAAAAACACAAATAAAGACTCATAGACAAGTGTGACTTTGTTATATCATTTTGTGCATGTGTGTTGTGTGTGTGATCTTGTATATCTGTCTATGTGGGGAATTTTACACCTTGTGAGGGACATTTGTTGATCCCTGCCTGAGGAATCAGGTTCAGATTAGAATGGTTAATCCATATTGTCTTTGAGGGTCCCCACAAAGTAAATACATGTGTGTTTTCTTCTTTCTGTTGTGATAAAAGAAAAATCTTAAACACATCTCTCCAGTGTGTGGATCTTTTGGCTGGTCCTAACAGCATCACATGGTTGACTGATGATTAAGATTTGGTTTTAGAGTAAAGTTACAACAGTTTAATCATTCGTCCCTTCAGAAACCAAAGTTGATTGCCCACAGCTGTAAACTTTTTGCCAGTGTTGAGTAAAGTTTATTTAAATTTTTGGAAAATTCAAGTCATTACGATTTATTTTCCAAACTAAAGAAATACTTGAGCAAAAGTGTCTGCATTTCTTCTTATTTTGCTTCCAAGGAGCCAGATCTTCTTGTATGTTTTTTAAGAAGTAGCTCTTCAGGCCTTTTGTTTTTCTGCTTTATCCACCCATTTTAAATATATTCCGTTGACAATTTTCAAAGGACTGTTTTTGTTTGTTCGGCCCCTTCAACACCAGTGTTGGTCAAGTTACTTGAAAAAAGTAATCAGTAACTAATTACTGATTACTTCCCCAAAAA